CTTAAAGTATTCCTTAGTTATGATGCTGTAGGTCTGCTGGAGGACCTTGCATGATCTCAAATGATACACCTTTTTTCACTCTGTTCTCTGTGTAATAATCACAATATTGCTGTCATTAATGTTTGTTTTGTTTTATATACACACACACACACATTGTGTGAATTAATGGAGTTGAGATTTAAAATTTCTATTCAAGAGAAATACTCAACAGTTTGTTAATTTAGTCGTATTTTCCCTTTTGTTTTCAGAACTTTCCCACCTACGAGAGCATGAAGCAGTATTTGCACTTGCAGGGTGCTGCCTCTTGTCAAACCTCTGCTGAGCCTGCCAGTCGGATGGAAGTGGAGTTTTATTACGAAGCAATCTGAGAGTTAATATCACTTGTTCCATGGCATGGAACGATTATCGACCTTTTATTTAATGCGAGACGCATTGTTGAAATTAAATTAATTTTGAAGCTGCAAACACCAATTGTTAAAGTTGTGTACCTACATCAACAGGGGAAATACTAAGTGCTTGGCAACATGAGAAATGTTAATAAGTGTTATTTAGCAAATAATCCTTTCCACCAAGTTTCAAATGTGAGAATTGGAAAAACGTTGTTTTGTCACTGTAGCTTATGGTTTGTTTCATTAAAAAATGCTGCCAGATGGCTTAGGATCATTGTGCGGTTAAATATAAGGGGAACCGGAAAGTTTAGACCACAGAGTGATGTTTAAAGGTCAAATTCACATTATTTTCCTAAACTGACTATTTACCAGAGGATATCAGAGTTGTCATTCTGTTGTAAATACTATATCAGCCAACTTGTACATTAACACAGTGCACACGGAGGATGAAGTTTCCGCTCACTTAAAACTTTCCGAGCTGATACTGAGTGTTTGGAATCACGGAAGCTTTTGGATTAGATGGTGTTAAACAGTCCCACACATATACATAACACACATATACTGTACATATACATATGTATATATATAAAAACTCAACCAGTGTTCCCCCTATTTCTTTAATGATAAAGACAGACTGCAGTGGTTTGTCAGTTCTTTATGCTATTGCCTCTTTCTGTTACCTCTAAAGTAGTGGATTTAAGGCCAAATAATCTTTCTCTAGCTGAAAATGAAAGGCGATGTGTATCTAAGTCGTGCTGCTCTGTATTATTAGACTGTATGTGAATTCCCTTAGAAGGTTTCTTCAGTTTGTAGAGCTATTACCATCATGCTCCATTACAGATGGCACAGCCGCTTGGAGCTATGAGTCTAGTAATGTGACTGACCAAAAGTGAATTTTCTTATCATCACAACCTCTTATCTCGATTTCTCCATAAACAGATAATCTACTATACCTCACCAAAGGGCAAATTTTTTTTTTTTTTAAACATTTTCTTGCAGCCACAATTTGTTTGTCTTTGGAATGGAGAGTAGAACAGCTGTAAACATCTGTGAGATGTAGCCAGGAAATCCTCAAATGTAGCATTAAACAACTGGAAATTAAGCCTAACCAGTATGGAGGTTAATCAGCAGGGATGATTAATTTTAGTTGTTAATAATAGCTGCCATGACATCCAAAAATCATTGTTTTTATGTTAATCTGCTTAATCCTTTTGGGAATGAGAATGAAATCTATCTGGCTTGGTTCAACCTGATCAACATTTAGTTTAGTGTTAGCCTCTTTTTACTTCTTTAAACCCTATTTATGTCTGTCAACCAACCCCGGAGGGTCTATTGACAACTGGTTTCAGCAAAGATGTTAAAAGTGCCTTCCTTTGGTCTTTACTTTACCTTTCACAATGCAGAGTATCTTCAATCAGATACTTCATATTCTAAAGAAAATACCATGACAGATCATGACTGAACATCTAAGGGAAAAATATCTTGACAACAGCAGAGGACAGAAGGAGGGAAACGCTGCCGTCGTTAACCTCTGCATAGTATCTACTCATTCAGACAACTCATTCAGATTTGAGTGTTTGCAAGGCAGTCGCAGCTGCGCTGTACACTGCCAAGTTTTTGCCCCGTTATTTACAGTCAGTATCTGGATTGCTCTGGCAAAAACTGTTTCATAATGCTGTTTGTAAGAATCAAGATGTGTGTGTGAGAGAGATTGAGCGTACGTTGCGGGGTAATCAGTGTACCACTTGCGCTGTAATGACTTGCATCTGTTGTGCAATGACTTGCACACTTCACCACATGCACCTCCTTAAAAACCATCTATTAAAGCGTGGAGCTGAAGTTTCACCTGCACTTAAATCGGTCACACAGGCTCACCATTTATTTTGTTTAAAAATGTAATCTTAAATATGTCACTGCATGCTGTAGGTGGGCAGAAGTGTGTGTGG